CTTACGAAGTTTCCTCCGGTGTCAGGGAGAATCCCGGCGGCTGCGGAAGCGTAGTTGACACCACGAAGCACTTGATCTCCGGGAGATTCGGAGAACGCCGGAATCAACGGCAGCCCCAAAAGTTGAGCTATATATTGATCAGTGCATGCATGCAGCAAAATACATAAAATCGATAAGCCTAATCCAAACATTCTTCATTTTTAAAAAACTTTGAATTTTTATATTTTTCCTCCCAGTTATAGTAGAAAAATAATATATACATGTTTTGAAGAAAAATTAAACAAAACATCATATACGTATTATATATGTAGACATGCAATTAGAACATACCAATCCCATCGACCATAGTTTTGCCATTGCAGAAGCGACCGGTCGGACCGCCATTAAAATCAATGCCATAAGGGAAATAATTGGCTTTAGCAAAAGAAGGTATGTTATTGTTATTCCCATTGTCTATGAGAGAGTCTCCGAAGACAAACAGCGCCGGCACAAGACTATAACCACTGTCTAGGTCGACCAATGGAGGCGGAGGAGCAGAAATAGGTTCCTCAACCACAACAAGTTGGCCGGTGACGCCATGCAGGAGGTGGAGAACCACCGCGAGAAGAGCTGGGAAGAAGCAAAGCCGCTGGAAGTGGAAAGCCATAGTGAAGTTGTTTGAGTTCTGAGAGGTGTGTAGTTTGTGGGGTTAAATGTTTGGGTGAAGGAAATAGAAGAAGAATTTGTCAGATTTATAGAGAGAAAGAGAGAGGGGTTTGGTGAAGAGTAGTAAATGTGTTTATCCGTCTTCTACCACACAGTAATAACATCTCCTGATGATAATCACGTGTATTGTTTCATATTTCTTCATGCATATCTTTTTTTTTTTGGTCACACTTCTTCATGCGTGTCTCTAAAATCATTTTGCATGATACATTGATACTATTATTAACAATAAATTTTTAGATTATGGAACTATGGAAGTGTATTAATTGAAAGGTATTGTTACATATAGTGTTCAATTAGTGAAAGATTTTGCAAGTGTTTTGATCAGTTTGACTAAATAAAATTTCATTTACAAGCAACTGACTGAAAGAGGAAAGAAAACCAGGAAGAAGAATTTCAATCACAATTTAAAAAGAAAAATATATGAAGAGGAAAGTTGCAGTTAAATCGTCGATATTCTCAATGACATTTAAGCTTTCAAGGTCAGACAAACGTGAAGACCAATTATGTCGAAGAAGAGAGCACAAAAAGCAACAAATAAGTCTCTTCTGTTACAAAAGATGGTTAGGTTTTAGCATCTTGATCTATTAATTTTAGAGTTGACTTTTAGTTTTGACTTCTCAGATTGTAATAAAGGATACAAACGATGGGGGCCAATAAATGGTAGTCTTCTTTTAGCCAGGAAATGGTAGTCCAATCGTATGTTTAGACATGTTAAAAGTTTCCTGTTTCCACATTTGTAAATTTGTTTCAAAATTCATGACATTATTGAATCTAATCAAAGAAAAAATAAAATTTGAATATTTTATTGTGTTATCATTTGTCGACTCTAGAATTTTCATCATGGATAACAATGTAAATATCTTTCT